TGGTGGAGAATGCCCAGTCCTTCAGGCCATGCAATAAAGCCTTCGAAATCATTTGGTATATGTGGGAACATACTGGTAATGCTTCTCACAGCTACCCATGGTGGACTGCCATGATAATTTTGTATAGCTCTCAAATGATATTACAAATATCTAAATGGCTCTTAGCAAAAAAAAAAAAAAAAAAAAAAAAACCACCTCTGAAAGTTAAGCTAATACCCAGAGAGAAAATAAATGAGATCTAAAAGTGCTTTTTACTGCTAAATGTGTGTGGTCTTTTACTAATTAATAAGCTTGTGCAAAGCCCTATTTCTAATCCTTAGCACCACCTAAACAAAAATATTTGATAGGGTTGTATCTTTATTCTACTTCTAGTTAGATTATATACATGTAGTGTTAACTAAAGTGGCTAAGTCAAACCAAACATTATATAATGTTGCCAGGGCTGGAAATGTGGCTTAGTGGTAAGAGTGCTTGCCTAGCATGCATGAAGCCCTGGGTTCAATTTCTCAATACCACATAAACAGAAAAAGCCAGGAATAGCGCTGTGGCTCAAGTGGTAGAGTGCTAGCCCTGAGCAAAGACACTCAAGGACTGCTGAAGCCCTGAGTTCAAGCCCCAAGACTGGCAAAAGGAAAGACTTGCCAAGGTTTAGTTGTTAAATCTTTTTTGGACATCAAGCTATTAAAGAGCCCATTTTAGGAGTGTGGAAATTATGTGTGATGGAAAGTTCTATATTTTATTGAAAAGTACTCATTGATCTATTACTTTTCATATCTGTGGAATTGTGACTGTAAGTAATAGCTAAAAATGACTTGTAATCAAACTTAATATTGTATGTTTCACATAAACATTAAGTTATGAATAGGTATAAACTATTAGTATTGACTGCAGGGTAATTGAGCAATCAAATAGGTAAATGCATGTTTTGAATAGAATACCTAGCTAGATTTCCACTTCATTTGTATTTTGTACAGATTTAATGATATCCAGTATTGACAGTGACTCAATGATTAATGTGTCAGAATTAAAGATTTTTTGTGTGTTGTCATAAAGATGGAAGGAATTTGTATTGATATGAGATGCTTATCTATCCTGCTTAGTGAGGATAAGTTTCATTTATACTGTTAGAACTCCCATGAATTTTGCAAACAGTACTACAATTGTTCTTGTTTTAATCTTTGTTTTTCTTCTTCCTATTCAGACAAGAATAATCTGACTTCAGGGGCTAGAAATGTGGCTCAGTGGTAGAGCGCTTGCCTTGCACACGTAGGCCCTGGGTTCAATTCCTCAGCACCACATAAGCAGAAAAAGCTGGAAGTGGCGCTTTGGCTCAAGTGGTAGAGCACTTGCCTTGAGTTGAAGAGCTGAGGGACAGTGCCCAGGCCCACAGTTCAGGCCCCATGGCCGACAAATAAATAATAATCTGACTTCAGTGTAGGTATAGTATGGAAAAATACTAGTTTGAGTGGTATGGAAAGTGTATTGAATGCACACACACCCTCCAGGAACTTATGAGGCAAGGTGTGAGAAAGGGGCAAGTAGGGGGCCCTGGCTGAGGTTATATAACCTGCACCCTAACTTCCACTCTGTCACCACTTGCACCTTCTCTGGTTTGTTTCAACTTGATGCCCCTCATCCTTAAGGCAGGGATGCTGAAAACAATATCTGTTGCACAGAATTGTTGGAAGGATTAATAAGGTAGATGTTGGTATGTGTAACACTTAGAGCAGCGTCTGCCTCTTGGCTTTTGGCGAGGGCTATTAAGAGAAAGTGCATGTCCTCTGTAGTCACCATTTACCTTATCTTTTGCTTGCAGTTGACTTCTATCCTACAACATGTAGAATATATATTTGTACTCATGTGGACACAATAGTTAATATACTTGCTACCAACTTAAGACTAACAGATGGAAGTCTCAAAAATTGCTTGAAGATATTTTATAGAATACCAACTGCTCTATATTTCATTAGAGAAAGTTTATAATTACTAATTTTGATGGCTATGGGGAGTATTTCATCGGAAGTCTCTAATGTGTCGTTTTTAGTGTAGATTAATGACAAATAGTACTGGCTGGTTTGAGGGTTTCCTTTCCCATCTTGTGGAATATTGTAAAGAAATCAGATGCAAACTACTGCAATTAGAAAATAAAATATGGAACAACTTTCAACAATGTACACAATTGAATTTTTGCAAACAAATACTTGAATTAAACTCGTTCGTAGTGATTCTGTTCTGAAATTTTGATTTTTTTAAAACAATGTGATTTGAGGGAAGAGGCATATGTTATGTTTCTTTTTCTTTTTGCCTGGTTTTGGTTATTTGATGTGAATGGGCTCATTAAATCATATTCCAAACATGTGGTTATTTTTCTCAGCAAGTAGATTTGTGCCAAAGAAGACATTTTCTGGTAGTAATTCAATTTTTCAGAATGATATCAAGTTGCCATGCCTATTAAGACATTTTGGTACCAAGTAATGACTGTATACGTGTATGTGTACATATGTACGTGTGTGTACCGGTACTGGAACCTGAACTCCTAGGCCTTACCCTCTCCCAATGCTTCCCCCCTGCTTTCACAAGGCTCATGTTGCTCATGTCTGTCACTCTACCTTGTGAGCCATACCTCTACTTCCAGCTTTTTGCTGGTGAATTGGATTTAAGAGTCTTGAATTTATCTGCTGATACTGGCTTGGAATACAGATCTCAGCCTCCTGGGTCACTAACATCACCTGGCTCAACTTGCTCACCATTTTTTTGTCTTTTTTGTGCAAGTACTGGGGCTTGAGTCTGGGTGTAGATCATTAGTAGCTTTGCTCATGGCTGGTGCTCTTAACACTTAAGCCACTGCTTCTAGCTCTTTGGTGGTTAATTGCAGATAAGAATCTCATGGATTTGCCTCACCAGGATAATTTTGAACCACAATCCTCAGATCTCAGCCTCTTGAGTAGCTAGGACTATAAGCATGAGCCACAGGTCCCCAGCTCTTGTCATTATTTTTTTTGGGGGGGGGTCAGGTCGTGGGGCCTGAACTCTGGGCCTGGGCGCTGTCCCTCAGCTCTTCAGCTCAAGGCTAGCACTCTACCACTTGAGCCACAGCGCCACTTCCGGCTTTTTTCTTTTTGCTTATGTGGTGCTAAGGAATCGAACCCAGGGCCTCATGCATGCAAGGCAAGCACTCTACCACTGAGCCACATTCCCAGCCCCTCATTTTTTTAATGTGTATCAGTTGTACCAAGGGGTTTCACTATGCTATCTCATGTTCATATACTATATTTTGATCAGATGAGGCCTTTAATGCTTTCTCTTTCCCTGTTACATAGTTGTCATATATTTCAACATTCATCCCCATCTTTCTTTATCCCTCCTCTCCCTGAAGCATCCTCAGAATAATGTAGATATACCCAAAATTCAGCCACTTTTGCCTCAGATTTGCAACTCCTGAATAGTTGCTACAGGTACCCACCCCATCCTGAACTCAGATTCTTATGCTTGCCAGACAGGAGCTCTTACCGCTGAGCCAGGCCTCCATACTGACTTTTGCTGGTCATTTTTCAGATAAAGTCTTGCTTCCTGCTAAGTCATGGCTTGCCTCTAAGCAGCTAGGATTAGAGCATGAGTCCCCTATGCCGGGCTTTATGGTCATTTTTAGCCAGGTCTTACACCTCAAGAGTTAGAATAAAACCTCCAGGCTGATCATCCTCCAGGAACAACAACCCAAAAGATGTGTGCCCTGGGGCTCTGAGGAGGACTATCACATGGCAGGCTATGCCTAGGTTGTTACTGCCTAGAGGCTTGAGCTGCCCCTGGAAAGATGTCTTTTTTTGATATGGTTTTTTTTGTTGCTCTGTTGTGGTGAGGATTGAACTCTGTGCCTCATGCATGTCAGATGAGCACTCTTGTCATTGGGTTACACCCACGGCCATTTCATACTTTCAAAGAGACGTAATAAATGTGTGTGACAGGAATAAAAGGAGGTCCAATAGAAATACTTCCCCTATCCTCTGACCTCACTTGTGAAGCAATACACTTACCAGTTGCTTCTACATGTCTTTCCAAAGGTTGTCCTTTGTTGAGATGCGGAACAGTACATATTTTAGGCAGGGGAGAGGGATGGGAAGTGGAGCATAGTTAGAAGGCCATCTTGGCTTTCCTTGATAGCATTGCTGGAGTCTGTCCTGAGTGATCGACCGCCTGAGATGAGCAAAGAGCGTGGAGGAGGGGTGCTCCCTAAACGCTGCTAGTCAATCACTGGAACTTAATTGTGCTTGGAGGATAGGTCTCATGACAGCCTGAGTGGCTCCCACCTAAGGACCTGGCCAGGAACTATACCCAGAGCTGGTGTCTGTACGCATTGCGGCACTGGCACCGGGGCGCCCACATCTGAAGACCTCGCCTGAAACTATATCTAGAACAGATTAAGTTTACACTTCCACACCCCAGTGTGTAAACATGGACACGCACACATGTGTATGCACTATGCTCACACACCAAGGTGTGTGTATGGCCACTGTGAGAAACCACACCCTACATCATTACACGCTATGAGTGTATGTAGGTCCTGTCTGTATGTAGTGTGTGCTTGCTATGTGTACACACGGCAGGAAGAATTGTGCGTGTTACGTGCGTGCCGAGGTTTGGCGGGTCCATGCACTGTTTGTTCGATCATGTGTAAGGACCTGTGTACTAATATGTGCAGTACAAACTACATATATTACATGTGCATTCCATGTACCCAATGCGTGAGAACCAAGGCAGATGATAGGCATGTTGTGTGAGAAGCTGTGCACAGTGTGCGCGTGCGCGCTCAGTATGAGAATGCGCGTGCGGGTGCGCGAGGGTCCGGCGCGGCATGCGGGACCTGGGTGAGAACCGCGCTCCCGGAGTGAAGACGCTTGCGCATGCGGACACACACGAGTCCAGTGCAGCGCGGAGGTTTGGGTAGTGCGCCTGTGCGGCCGGCGCATCCCGATGGAGCGCAGCAGCAGTTCTAGAGCGGGATCCCGGGCTGAAGGGGCTACTCGAGGCGCTCTGCTCTCCGGGAAATTAGCCGAGTCAGTCTCCGTGCGGACTTTGCCACCATACAATATCAGGCCTGCAGGTAAAAACAAAACAAAACAAAAAAAAACCTCCAAGTGCCGGAGATGGCTTCGGAACCCCCACCCCCACCCCCCGGGGAAAGGGGCGGGCTGCGCCTGGCACAGGTTATAAAGTGCGGGGGGAGGGGATGGGAAGGGGTGGCGCAGAGCTTAGATGAACGCCTTTGCCCCTTAGGGGTCAACTGGGAGCGAGGTCCTGAGGCCGCACCCTGTCTGCGGGTGGCAAGGTTCCTTCCTGAGGTGGCAGGGTGAGTGGATGTCCTTGTGGGTGTTGAGGGTGGGTAACAAGTGTGTTTGGGGCCCATGCTTGGTGCCCAAGGAAATTCTGGGGTGCTGGCCCCCGTATGGCTGGAGGTGGGGGTGGGGTACAAGGTAGAATGGGGGGCGGCTCTGAGGTAGAGAGGGGAATGTGAGGTGGATACAGGGGAGTCTGAGGTCGATGGAGGGGAAATCTTAGGTGGATGGAGCCAACTCGAGAGCGTTGGCTGGGTTTGCGCGTTCGCCCTCTCCACGTCCTGGAAAATGCGCACGAGCCCTAACTGCAGCCCCCCGGCCAAGGTGTCCCAGCGTTGCGCTTCTTTCCCGTCGCAGGGGCTCTGCGGGGGAGCCAGCCCGGGGTTGCCTACCTAGCAGGAGGGGGGGGGGGTGGGATTCGCGGGCTCCGGGCTGCGGCCCTCCCCCTGCGCCCAACACGCCGGGGCTGAGTGCATTCCGCCGCTCAGGTGTCGGGCCTTGAACTGCGGCTTCCTGAAGCCCGCGTGGCTGTCGTCCGGAGCTGATGGGGGGCTGGTCTCGTAGATCGGTGTCGCAGCGGGGAGATCGTGAGAACGTTGGGCAGAATTTGACGGGCGTCGCGTCCGCTGGGACTAATCTGTAAAGTGATTGCAGGTAGTGCAGGGGTGTAAGCAACGTGGAAACTGATTTCGTGCTATTTTTTTCCCCGTGGCAGCACCTTTTTTTAATTTTTAAGTTAATAATGTCAGCTATTTTAGAACAATTTTTCCTAACCGCAGTCTAAATATCGACCAACTCTTCATATGATTTGAGGAATGCTTACATAGCCCATGTGTGAGCGGTTTTATGTAAAATGGACGGGGGGGGGGGGGGGGGGGGAAGGGGAGGGAGAGGGGATAAAGAAAATTTTGGGGCTGGGGGTGTGGCTCCAGCTCCAGACCTGCTTAGCCCAAGTTCCTAGGTTCAATCCCAGTAAGGCAAAAAAATAGAAAAACAAACCCTCAAAAGACAGGGTCATGAGCTTCTGGCTGACATGCTAGGCTTGGAAATGTTTTTAAAAACACAGTTGAGGGTGGGGTTGGGACAGTGTTTTCTGTTTGGTTTAAATCACTTCCAGTTTGCATTTCTCGGGTGTGTGTGTGTGTGTGTGTGTGTGTGTGTGTGTGTGTGTGTGTGTGTGTGTGTGTGTGTGTGTGTGTGTGTGTGTGTGTGTGTGTGTGTGTGTGTGTGTGTGTATGTGCCTGTGCAGGTAAGCAGGTGTGTGCACTCAGGGTCTCATGCTTGATGGGCACACTGGATGGGCAGGCTTGCTGGATTGTTTTTCCAGCTCACCTATGGCGCTCTACCACTTGAGCCATGCCTCCATTCCGGCATTTTGTTGGTTAATGGGGCTGGCTTTGAACCTCCATCTTACAGGTCTCAGCCTCCTGAGGAGGGAGGATTCTGAACAGGAGTCACCAGTGCCAATCCCAGTTTGCATTGTTATGATGTTTTTTATTCAATGCAGAGCTTAGTAAGTATCCCAGGGTCGTGATATAAATATCTTTTAAATGTGTGCTTCTATTTTCATCCTTTGACATCTGGCAAGTAAGAACCTAGAAATCCACCCACCAGAACTGAGCCTTCCTGCCAGAGTGGACCTTGAGAATAAAACATTGGAAACACTTATGAAAGTAATGCCTCTGAACATCACATTTATAATATCAATAAAATATTTTTTAAAAAACATTGGAAAGAGGAATGAGAGAAAGAGGGAGCAGTTAATACTAAGTAAAAGGAAAGAAATGTACATATAGTCCGATTTGTAAAAAAAATAGTTTTATTGTTAAAGGTCAGACTTCATAAGCAATGTAGATTAAGATGATGACTGTCATTGTGAAGATTAAAAGGTGTGTGTGACTTTAAAAGGATAAATTAAAAAAAAACATTAGAAAGAGGTGGTTGTGAGTTTGCATTTGTATTTGGTGAAAAGTTAAAGAATTTAGATGTTCTATTGTACTAATGAGAGGTGAGGTGGGGCTGAATGATTGGCTCTTCAGTTTATCTTGTATTTTAATTTATTTAAAGAAACTTAAGGGAAATCTTTGCTTAAGTTTTTTTTTTTTTTTTAAATTTTTGCCGGTCGTGGGGCCTGAACTCTAGGCCTGGGCCCTGTCCCTCAGCTCTTCAGCTCAAGGCTAGCACTCTACCACTTGAGCCACATTGCCACTTCTGGCTTTTTCTGCTTATGTGGTGCTGAAGAATCAAACCCAGGGACTCATGCATGCAAGGGAAGCACTCTACCACTGAGCCACCTTCTCAGCTCCCTGCTTAAGTTACTTTTTTTTTTGTGACAGGGTCTTCCTTTGTAGCCATAGTCTAGGCTGGAAGACTTTAAGCTGGTCCCAGCTAAGGGGGATTTTTGTTATAAGAATAATTTAATATACTACATGATAATAATGATAGTTTAAAGCTATTTTCCTATATTTGAAATTAGAAATAATGGAAATACATGTTATGTGAAAGTTTCAAGTGTTAAACTTATTTATACATTAATATTAGTGTTGTAAAACTGAAATGCCAGGTTGGTATCATTGTGCATTCTTTTGTGGCTGATTGGGCCAGGTACTTAGCAAATGTCATCTTCAAAAAAAATCTTGATTCTTGAGTCTTATTATAATCTAGTCTTGGGCTCAGTGGTAGAGTGCTTGCTAGCATGTAAGAAACCCTAGATTTAATTCCTAGCACTGCAGAAAAAAAGTGTGTGTGTATGTGTGTGCATGTGATATTTCATAAAACCATGTGTCAAGGCTTTACTATTTTAGAATTCATTCTTAATTAACTTGAGTTTCTAGAGGATCAACCATTGTTCCTCAGTGATTACTGAGTGATGGGGGGGAGGGGAGGAGCTGTAGAAGACAGAAAGGTCTGAGACTCTGTGGCAATGCCCTGTCATGTTAGTTGGCATATTTGGGAGATATAAGTGGATAAATGCTTTTCCTGGGAGCTGTTATAAAAGATAGCAAGGGAAAGACTTTGGTTGATTCCTCTAGCAACAGGTTTCTCCCGCATTGAAATCCTGTGCTTTTTCCTCATTATCTACCACCAGCAATGCTTTCTTTCATCCCTTTTACTTACTCCTGGGATAGAAATAATGTACTATTCTTTATAGTGTTTACGATGTGTGCATTTCTTTCCAGATTTCTTCAATGATCCACTGATGATTTAAAAGTATATGATTGGACCAGGTGCCAGTGGCTCATACCTGTAATCCTAGCTACTCAGAAGGCTCAGACTTGGCAGATCATGGTTCAGAGCCAGCTCCAAAAGAAAGGTCCTCACGATTCTATCTCCAATTAAGCACCCAAAAGCCAGGCTAGAGATGTGGCTCAAGTGGTAGAGCTCCAACTGAGCAAGCAAGCTGATCAAGCTCAAGGTCCTAAGTTCAAATTTTAGTACTGACAAAAATTAAATTATATTAAGCTAAATTAAAAAAATCTTGCTGGGCTTGAAGGTATGGCTCAGGGTTCTTGAGCTTCAATCCTATTACCACCCAAAATGTATTTTTTTATCTACATATATTTATGTAGTTTCAGAAGTTTCTTTTACCATTGAATTCAAGTTTTATTCCATTATGATATATGAGGATACAGGAAATTATTTCAAATTTTTTCTCTGTTCAGATGTGTGTGTTTGGGGGTGGGGTGGGTGTGCATGCATGTGCATGCTGGTCTTGGGTCTTGAACTCAGGCCTGGGCTCTGTTCCTGAGATTTTGTGCTCAAGGCTAGCACTCTATGATTTGAGCCACAGCCCCACTTCCAGTTTTTTGATGATTAACTGGAGATAAGAGTCTCAAGAACTTTGCTGCCTGAGCTGGTTTTGAACCGTGATCCTCAGATGTCAGCCTTCTGAATAAAGAAGATTATAGGCATGAACCATAGGCACCTGGCAAGATTTACTTGTATGGATTAAAATATGATCTGTTTTGCAGAAAGTTCAATGGACTGCTAAGAAGAATGTGTATTCTGCTGCTGTTGGATAAAATAAATACTCTAGATGTCTGTGAAGTCCCTTTGGTCAATGACGCTGTTTAATTCTGAGATATTTTTATTGATTATTTCTGTCTGCTTGGATCTAAGAAGCACATGTTCAGCTTGTGTGTGCTTATTTATGTCTAATGTCCTTAAAGAGTGATCAAAACAAGCTAAGTAAGAGCACGAGGCCCTGAGTTCTAGCCCCAGTATCAGCATAGAAGAAAAAAGAATAACCAGCACAAAGAGGGCTGGAAGCATGATTAATCAGTAGAGCACCTGCCTAGAAAGCTTGAGGCCCTGAGTTCAAACTCTAGTACCACCAAAATAACATCAACAACCAAACGAGATTATCAGGAGAAAAATCACATTTAATTACATGTGCCTGCACAGGAGTCTTCAAAATAGGCGACCTGAAAAATAAAAGATTCAGGTGATTGAAGTTTAAATAAATTCCTGAGCTACAGAAAAGAGTAGAGGCTTGGGACTTGTGGCATGGGGGGGGGGGGAGGGGGGAGTGCAGAATTTATAGGAGGGTGAGGAGAGGAAACAAGGTGAATAAAGTTTGGCTTGTTATGCAAATAAAATGTCAGGTAAGAAAAGTTGTCTTGAGCAGCCCACTTCTTGATATACATACTCTAATCAATATAAATTTCATATATATGTACATTTCTTCCACAGAATGACAGTTTTCAGAGTTTCTCCTGCCGTTTCAGTTTCCCAGAATAATGAGTGTAAAATATGCCAAACACATCTA